ATGCAAAAACCACTAATACAAAGCATCATTGTAGTGAATCCTTAGAAACTGAGAAGTAATTTAAAGTAGAAAAGTGACCATCACATTTCTATTGCATTCAAAATAGGTAGTTTTGAATTAATGAACATGGTATTACAGACCGTATAAAACTTTTGCTACAGTGGTTAACACTTGCAGTATAGCCCAGCAGGAGTATTTTAATTACAGTTCCAATAAAAACTCACCTTTTTATTGCTATAATATGGATCCACATCCTCCAGAGGCTCAGACACCATGTTTTGAGGAATATCACCATAAATGAATGGCAGCATTTTTCCTGCCTCCAAATCATTACTTGGCTTTGGATGATTTTTTTCATGGCCACCTTCCTCTTTATGCTCGTCTTTGTCATTGTCACCATCAGGCCTCTCATCAGCGATACGTTTTTCAATAGCTGCAAGAGACTCCCTGGTGAAATAGCAGAAGCTGTCAGGTCCAGGTGGTACCAGCATTGCCTGCACCATCTTTTCATTCTGCAAATTTTAAATGTTTGTAAGCTCCTGTGTAGAAAGAGCCTAAAAGAACAATTGGGGAGAGGAGGGAAGGGAGGGAAAGCACAAGAGAGGGAGGGAGAGAGGGAGAATTAGGAAATCAAAGGAACGCAATAGCAACAAAAATTTCCCTGAATTCATCACTTTTGCTATAGATATCATTTATTTTCAGTTTAAATAATCACCCACAGGTACTGTTCAAACCGAGCATCACTTTCCTCTTTCCTATTTACAAAACACTGAAGTAAGAAGTTAATTGTCCAATACTTAATAAAAAAAAATAGCTACCTTAGCTTTAGCAGCTAAGAAGAAAAAACATGAAAGGACAAAAATTGTGGCCAAATTTGTGCAGAATTTATTGCCAATTCAAGACAACATAAATGTCACAACAAGAAGTAAAATAATTTCATTTTCAGTCCAAACAAAGTCCCAAACATACCTTATTACAAAGAAAAGCAAGACTTATAAACACAATTTGGTGCTGTTCTTTACAATAGCTATTTACTGCAAACAACAGTTAGGTAATTGTAAAATACGCATTTATTTTAAAATCTGGGCCTGTACCTTCAAAATCCCATAAACTTGTATTATGGAGGGAGACAGAAAAAATTGAAGACACACTTTTCCTATCATTTCCAATAATTTTTAATAACAACACTACTCCATCTGGTGGCCTATACTATACTTGACTATTGTTCATAATTCCCTCTTAAAACAGTATTAGATAAAGTTAAGTAAGTTTTCAATAGGTTCTTCCCGGGTTTCTCTTTTCTCAAGTGAGTGTACAGCAATGCTCTGGGTACAATTTTGCCAGGATAAGCCAGTTCTGGAAACACAGCCAAAACAAGGAAAATGAGATAAACTGAATATCACTTGCTGACACCTATAATGTTGTAGTACTTGTCAATACTTAAAAGAAATTTAAATCTCCTGCTCTGTGATTTTCTACTAGTTACTTTTAAATTTCCTAATTTCCTAATTGTGGTCAGTCATGTTAATGTAATTTTTAATCCATGGAAAATTCTAACTAGAAAGGGTCTTTTCCTTCATCAAGGAGGTAGCAGCATTAAGACAAATATCATTTTTTTTTCCCCCAGAAAAATATCCTATATACTAGCCAGTGGTCTATATGCTTTAATAGACTGTGAGAACTACACTTCGATAAAATTGGCCATTTCTTTTTTGAGGGATGCAAGCTAACAGTTAATACAACGTAGTCACCTAGCAGTTATGTATAAAAGGCCTATACGCAGTTATTATACAGAGAGGTCGGGCAGTTGCATTAACTCCAATGATGCTAAAGATACAAGACAGCAAAACCTACAGCACTTAGGACAACCTCTATCTTAAATCCAAATGAAAGAGGAGCTGCATGTAAGGTGCTGTGCCCGAGAGAGTCGCGCAACCTGCAATGATTGAAGCAGCGGCACAGGAGCTGCTGCTCAGCCACGCAATGCCGACCAGAGCGCCACGCCTGCCAGCAAGCACGGGCACACTCGGTAGCGTGAGAGACATTTATGCCATGTTGTGTTGTGATGATTTCCTTTGGAAACAGGACAACCAGAAACATTTTAAGGTAAAGGGAAGTCCTTTACTGAGTGACAATGGCTGAGCAGCCTACCATAACCTTCAGTTAGTCCTTTGGGGATGTATTCATTACTTGCAGAAAGACTTCACAACATTTTTAAAATTGTTTTCAACTCAAATTTATGAAATCAACTTAGGCTCAGAATATGATGCCTTGCAGACACTACTTTTTATCAAACGTGCACTTGAAAAATGTCACTAAACTGCTCTGCCTGGGTAAGCATTTCGGCTAAACTTACTCTTTAGAAGCCTGTAACACATAAAATTAGAAGTATATAACTACTGATTTTAGCAAATACCACTATGGCCTTGTGGCAGTTTCTCCTAGTTACAGATGCTACCAAAATAAAATCCAATCTTTCTGCTGATTGTTGATACTCCACTGGTTTATTCTGCAATGCTTAAGTGGTATCCTTAGGGCTGACATGAACTCCAGCAACTCTCTCTAGAGACACCACAGCTAATGACTGCTGTAAATATAAACCAGAAAAATGTTCTCTTCCAATACGTAACAGGAATCTGCTCAATTAATGATTTACTCTAATAACAACTCATGCTTGAAGAACAACAACACCCGTTAAAACATGAGTTATGGTTCAATTATCATATTTTCTACTCATATCTCCTTCAAATATTGCATATGTATAATCTCTGTAACATTCTGGAGCATCTTGATGCCATTTATAATGTTTCATCAGAGAAAGCAGCTTATCCTGCAAGAATGGAAAGAAAAAAAGGATGCAGAAAGATGGACTGATTTTAATAGTTTGTGTTTTCTCTCTTCTGCATTCCTGATAGCTGCTAAATTACCATCTTGAAGACTGAAGCTCCCAAAACACACAAATAGGCCAAAACAAACTCCCACCCCCAAAGAACTACCACCAATAGGAGAAAAAGCTCAAGCTTAGCTTGCAATAAGCTTTTAACCCAACATGGCTGTACAAGAAAGCCTGAATAGTGGCTCCCAAAAAAAAGCAAGAGTTGAAAACGAAGGGTTATGATCTTACAGAACACAGCTGAGAGACTAAGATTGTAAAGTGATCTTTTGAAGTTTATTTTGATATGTGTTTATGTCACACCTATTTATTTTAGAAACAGCACAATTACTTTACAACTCTATTTTATAGGTGTGGCATGCAAACATTGCTTCTGCAGTACATTCTCCATCACATTCTATTAAATCTGCTCCTATATGCACATATTTTGCACATCCAAATCTAAGATTTTGCATTTGAACTGACAGATTATACTACAGCAATGGCAACAAACCCTAATACTCAGAAAATTTATTTCCTGTAAGTACATAGAACACTTACCTTCCATTTTTCTTCAAGTTTTGAAAGCTTAGGAACAGTAGATCTTATGCATGGATCTGTTCTCTATATTCCTTAATACAACGATAAATTTTTACAATAGTATTTTCAGTGTTCTTTATGCCTTATTGGCAATTACTATTGCATTCCAGAGTGCTAAATCTGAAACCTGAACACATCTTTCAGCTTACTGAAGAAGCTATGCTAAGTTACTAAATCTCAACAGACAACATAATTTCTTATCCTTATGAAAAGTAATTAAAAATAAAGAGCTGCTGCAATGACAGTCTGGTGATGATGTGCACTGAAACTCAATTCAGCAAATGACCAAACTGGATGATTCATCAGCGAATTTGCATATATTTTATTTACTGTGCTCTTTTCTTGTGTTTGTACATATCAAATAACATGCCTCTTTTAGGGATACAAGATTGGACTAAGGAGGCAAAAATTACATTGCTCATTGCTACTGTTTGAATGGTAACAGCACATAAAGCATTTGCCCATTATTCATCCTGAACATCAATGAGAACTAAAAGATACTTTAATTATTAATTGCTTTGAGTTTGAATAAATTAGACTTAAGGCACACTTCATCTCAGCAGCATTGCCCATGGCAATGCAATATGACCAACTGCAACAACTCATCTTAATCAACAGATTTTGCCATGCCATTTACGAGTTGGTTATTTCTGAAAAGTTTGATCCTGAAAACTATTTTAAAGACTACCTAAACAGATGCCTACTGAACTTCTGTTTCTAACGATTCATTTCTTTAAATGTAACTCTCCTTACCTGACCTGCATGTTTTCCAAACGAAGTTATTGTAAACTAGCTATTTTTGGCTCAGGATATCACTTGAATTTAAGGTACAAATTCATATTAATACATAGAAAGCAGGAGCTTTCTCTCAAATCAGTACCGTAGGAAAGAAAGATGTATAAAAGCTATAGTGACCTTAAAAAAAAAAAACTCTCTGAAATTATTCCATTTTTGGAAAATGTAGTGACCACTGATGCAAACTGATCTGCTTCTCCTTAATGTTTTTTCATCAGGCATAGATCCCAGAAACCTAGTGCTAACTAGCCAAGCAAGCCAATCACCGATGTATCAAACAAGAAATTTTTGAGTAGAGCCAATACATCAGCAAATGCAAAACTGTGAAAGGCTTTTATTATTAGCTATGCAATGAAAACCAGTCAAAACCATATGATTCACTTTCTCAGAAATATGACATATGTTCTTTTATACTATTCTTGGATAGTAATTCAAATTTAAGCTTCTTCAAGCTATTAATTCTTTTAGACTCTAAAGACAAGTTTATATCAGATTTGCTTCTATATTTTTCAGTTAAAAGAGTCTGACAGTCACTGATGCTTGCTCTATTTATAGATAAAATTGACATCTTTTAGATTTCAATTGCCAGCTAAGTGATTTCTTTGAACCTCTTCTTTATGTCTAAAATAGTATAGGCCACTGAAATTTACTTTCACAGTTCGGGTGTGTATGTTCTTTTACAGATCAGATTTGCCTCTGTGAATCCTGGTGATTAGTCTCACAAAGTTTCATTTCCACGTATTGGGTTTTTTTCCTCCTCATTCGTTCTCAAGATTCTTCCTTCAATTTCCTGCTATATTTATGAGCTGTCATTAAATCAACTGATGGCAAGAAAGATTTGATATAGTACCCAGCAAAAAGTCCTGTTAATATGTGCTGCGTGACCTTTACTCCAGAATATGATTCGTCTTTTAGGAAACAAAAGACGGTGATATCAAGGTAATTGCATTATGACCTTTTGCTTTATCATTCTGGATTAATTTTCTGTATGAATTCATGGCAGAGTCCATCTTTGATAGGCAAACAGCAACTTGCCATTTTTCTAAGAGTGACAGTCAAAGCTTTAAAGTACAATTTCCACTTATCTAAATGAGAATGTGTATGAGAATGTATCAAAACTCTTTGTTTTGATGCTTCATAAATAAATACATATAAAAATGTAGTATCTCCAGGGATAACACATTATAAGATACTGTAGCTGCCCTAGAGATTAAGCTATGATATAATATCCTTTCAATGTATATGAGAATTAAGTTTTCAAATAACCAAGGTACTTGCACATTGTTTTGTTTCCTGTATTCATTAGCTTAATGACAGCATGAAGGAAGGGCAAGTATCATATCAGCTGTAACAATATTAATTTATTTCCTTCTCACCGAACACTCACTGTTATTTTCTCACAATTATTCTTTTCAATTACACAATTTAATATGTAATTAAATTTGATTTAGGTATATGAACTCTTCAGGACATACTGTAACATTTTCCAAATTAAAATCCCAAACAGTTTTTGTTAAGTGATTCAGAAATAATATGAAGCAGATCCTGTATCACTTCAATCCTACAAATCGTAACAACAAAAATTCAGTGAAAATAAAGTGAAAAAAATGTTTAGATAAACATAACAGAGAAAAAAGAGACTAAAAAAATGTTAAAGGATAATTAACAGGATTTTAATCAACAGGACTAGGGAAAAAAGAGTGTCAGATTGGTGTGTAGCTTTGTTTGCCTGTTTAACGATATAAATAAGGGGCAGAAATAAAGATGTTTTAACAAAAAACCAAAAACTCCAAAGAACACATAAGACTTTCAAAACCACTTAGTCTGACCGTACTTTTAGCAAACACCTGTTAATATGCAACAAAGGAACTGCAGCAACACTGTTCCAAGTTAATTTTAAAGCACAAATTTCTAAATTTCTCTTACATCACCAGTGTGCTACAATGATTCCAAGAAGTCAATATATAACACTGACAGAAAACAAGACTGTTACAATGTTTTTGAATTAAATTTTTAGAAGTCCTCTGGCTCAGACTTCATCTTCACTGAATGAATGCATGCTGAAAAAAAAAAAAGGACATATCCTTAAAAATGAAATTGTGAAGAAGAGATCTGTCACCATGTACCGAAATCCCACTTTAAAATGTTTTGGTCCCCTCCTCAAAACTACAAAAAATATACCTGCAAAATTCTTCACCATCACAGTCACATCAGCAGTGTTACAAGTACTCACAGAACACACACAACTCGAATTCTTTAATAACATTCTGTTTTGCTCTCATCAGTCTCAAGCTAATGGGCGCTGTTCCTGAAGCAGCAGACACCACGCTCTTGATCCTCGTCTATTACTTTTAAAAATGCAGACTCTGCAAAGGACTAATGTCAACATAATGTCCAGTTACGGAAGTTTTTAATGGCTAAAAATCAGATAGAGAACTTGCAAAATTACTTGGAATGCAACAATCAAAACCCTCAGAATTTAGTCCAAGTTTTTAAATCAAGAATTCTTATTTGATTTAGTGTATATATATAAGCATTGCAGCTTTTAACATAATATCTAAAACTGATTATGCAGATCCTCTTGCTTAATGGATCATTGCTTTGACGGTGCTCAGCTACTATGCTCTCTAGCACAGCAGAATAGGCATAATTGTATGCAGCATTATGTTACATGCCTAATGTTAAATTAGTTTTATCCTATTCAAAGCTACTTACAACTTCCATTAACATAGGAGGGAGAGGAAAAAAAAAAAGCATAATTATGTATGTTATTACAAAGAGCAGGCATTTACAAATAAACTATGCTCAGAAGTTCTAAGCTTGTTGCTTAATATCTAATAAGCAACATTTTATTTCTGAATTAACAGGTAACAATTACAAAAACTGAATTTGCAGTGACTCACAGATGCATATAAAATCAGAATAATAACCTTTTTACAATTAATGTGAGGTGTCTGGAGAACAGTTATGTGAATAGACATTTTTTCATGTACAAAATGCAAAGCTACCTGTAAAATACAATGGACGTGGAGACAAGTCACTATTATTTTGCATAAAGAAAATTGAAGAAAAATAGCACAGCTACACTGTCAGTCCAACATCAAGGACTATATTAATGGGAGATCTTTCAATTTTTGTTATTTACAGGGTTGTAAACAAAAAGACAGACCAAAACCAGTCTGTTTAAGACTGAAATGTTGATGAATAGGTCACAGGACAATATCTGGGCGAAAAAAAAGCGGAGCATCAGACTTCTGTTGGCATCTCTCAATCTTGCAACAAATTAACACCTTTAACAAGAGTAACACAAAAAAGGTCCCTTTTACACTGCAACCACTATCAGCCCATCAAACAAACACTCTGAAAGATCTCTGTTGTCCTGAGCACTTTAATTCTAGGGAAGCAGATTAATGAACAATTGGCAGACGTCACTGGTAGACTATGCAAAGCCTGTGCAAATACATAGGGGAAAACCAAGTATTACCATTAAGTGAAATAAAGCAGACATAGTACTCTAATAGAGATTACAGTACTATGTTCTTTGATTTCTGAGTAACACTTGTTTTCTGTCAGAAAATATTCAAAATCATCTTGCAAGTATTAATTATTTGCTGCTTTAATGTCCACAGATGTCCTACATCTTGACTCCAGCAATGGATAAATAATTGCACTGGAAAATTCAATGATTCATCCAAGAAGTCCACAGCCATCTTCAGAATCAGACCAAAATTTCCTGGTTCTCAGCTTGGAACTACTCCTTTCTTTTAGTCTTATACCTGAATCTGCTTTCAGATTAATATAATCTGAACTAAATTAGAGATTTTTGTAGGATTAGAGTCCGAAAAAGACTTTTGAAAACTTCACTTGCACTCTCTTTGACATGAGTCATACACAGAAATACTGGTAAACTCTTCTCAAATTATATATCATTTCTACCTTAACTGATATTTGTAAGAGCTTACTTGTGATTTATTAACAAAATGACTTATCAAATCAGAAAGACAGCTAATTCTTAAAAAAAAAATAAAATAAAAATAAAAAAAGCACATTTCCCCAGCTTTTTGATTAGGTAACGTTGTTATCAACCATACTACCTTAAACAATTCAGAGAACAGGGATTTTTTTTTTATTTTTTTTTTTTTAGAAATATATAGAACATATAGAAATTTCTATTCCTTTCAACATGTAAGACTTCTCTGCTCTCATAGCAAAAAGCTGCTGAGCCTGAAACAAGTCTAATGATCTCTGTATCTACACAATTATTATTCACAAGAGGTTTCTGATCTCCCGCTGTGAGTTATTATTTCCCCTAAAGTAGGTAACCTCTTTAAACTATCAATACTTTGCTTTCCTTCAGAAAAAAAGTAAAGCAGAACTTCTCACGTCCAGCACTTAGAGCTTCATATTTACATGCAGTGATTGTAATTAATTATTAATACAATTAAAAGCAAGGAATAAATTATCTTTCTAAACATCAAACCTGAAATTTTAACTTGAATTTCTAAACGACTATCCCCCGAGAACTGAGATGCTCAACATTAAGAAACCTTAGAAGGAATTGCCTCATACATGTCAACACCATGTCACCCATTTAAATAGGCTATATGAAGTATGAGTATTAAGTTATTCTGTTGATTAACAAATATTTTTCTTCTTATTATGCAGTTACATCACTACTGCCCATGCCTTTGTATCCAAAATCCATTTTTCCATTCACCATTAAAAACTTACAGGATTCCACAGAATGGACTAGTAATGACAACAAAGCTTTTTTTTTTGAATTTGTTTATAACAGACACACTTCTAAAATGCATCACCATCACACAACTGTCTACAGCCCTCTGCCTGTGGCATGCAAGACAACCTCAAGTTACTGACTGGCTGTTCTTACCAATCATCAGAGGAAAAGCCATTACACAGGAAGAGCTGCAAGTGCGGAATAGAAATAAATTGTCACAGAGACATTTTAGTTATTTCATTATGGGTCATATTTAGAAAAGAGTTCTTGAAGGCACAAGGCTGACTGCATCTGCTCCTGCTGCTGGGTTGGAACCTTAACTACGGTGAAGGAACTGCTGTCATTCTCACCGCTCTACCACTAAGCTACACATCAGGATGAACCTTTCTTTCTAGACGACATTTTATGTTACTTATCATCTTAAGGAAGGAAACTAATTCTTGGAGTCAGTCTTAGGTACAAATCTCAAGAAACATTTACTGTAGACATAATTTATATTGTGCTTTTAATAGAAAAAGTAGGCAATCCAAGAGTAATTCTTCAGATGCAGCTCTCTCCCTCCTTTCCTTCTCTCCCTCTTCTCCCCTGTCATGCTCCTCCTCCCCACCTCTCTCCTTTTCTCTCTCTTCAAAGGATGTTTTAACTGCAAGTTAAAGGATTCACTCCTGGAATAAGAGACAGAAGTTTAAAGTTTCTTTTGCCTTTTTATAAGGAGGTGCTGGAATTACCCCAGTGAGTCCATTGCTGATGTTTTAAAATACATCCTCTCAGATCTCCTTCACTCTCCAGAGAGGGCATCTCAGCAACTAACCAGAAATGCTACACAATTTGTTTTGTTCAGGTCCCACAATTTAGTATTAGTACATTATTAATACAGTAATAAATAAATTACACACAATATTTCAGAGTACGTAAGCATTCTGCATGGCAGCAAAGTTGCACACATCCATACACATGGGACTTTTCTTTATTTCAGCTGTTACAAACATGGAATCAAAATTCTTCTGTTAGGCCACATGCATAAGAATGCTCCACAAAAGGTATCCTGAGTCTGTACATGATACTTGGGCAATGCAGAAACATCTGAATGACTTATTTCAAGTTCCATAATAAAAGCAATATGATACTAGCTATGTGAAGGTGCTTTAATGCCTGTTCTAAAATTACTTTTTTTCTTGCAGTTAGATTCTCCATGTACTGAAATAAAGTGTCCTGAGAAGGTGCCAAGATAAGCAAAGGTTCTCGTTAATCCTTTGTACACATAATTCATGCCCTAAGTTTTACAGACTGCAAATAGCCATGAGTTTTACAGACTGCTAATACCAGTCACATCAGGTTTTCTCCCTCAAATAGTGGAAGAGGGAAAGGATTTTTTTTCTGTTTGGAAAGAGGAGAATGCAGGTGAAAAGCAAATACATCAACAAGAATAACCTCCAGTAAATATACAGCAGATGAAAACCGGCTAAAGAATAATCAAAGAAACCAGCACAGTCGGACTTCTGCTTTCAGTTCCTTATGCCAGCCAGACAGGCTCCCTATTCCTCACTTAATGGTCTCATTAGTGTAATCTGACTCTACTTTTTGTGTCTAATTTTCCAACAAAGCTCAGCTGCTTTTCTGCAAATCGATATAGACTGGTGATGATCAGTAAACTCTGGCTAGGTTTATAGGGATATAACAGAAGCAGTATTCCCAAATCCATTCTACCAGTGCATACACGCTTCTAGGCAAACACCTTGAAAATGGAAAATTCCATCAGCATACAGAATAGAGATATTCTTCTTGAAAAGGTTCACTTGTTAGGTTCAAAAAAGGATTTTGCATCTGTAAAATACTACTGAGTTTTTGTATGTATTTAAAAAAACAAAAGTATCTACTCACAACATCCATTAAAAGACCACAGAAGTAGAATAAACCAGTAAAAATCTGATTATGTTCAGTACCAATTATTCCTTGCAATTCAATGGCCGAAAATACAGTGCTTTAATGCTACAAGAGATTTTGATGCTGTCAACCCCATAGGCAAAGTCAAGTATCTACTTCCCGAAGGACAGGGGAATATGAGAAGATAAAATATGCCACAACACCATGATGAGGAGCCACAGAAGAGAGGCCAAGATCAAAGCAGACATGAAAAAAAAGAAATCAACATCCTGCTAATCTACTTCCAATTGAAGTTTCAAGCAATTTTGGAACAACTCTAATGCCACTGTTTCCACTACATCCAATCCATAGATAAAGCTTTATTTTCTAAATACTTGAACTTGCATTTGAATCTATATTTAAAAAAGTAACTTCTAAACAAATATCCAAATTATTTTCTTCTTTAGTAAGAGGGGAAAAAAAATAATTAACCTCGGAGATTCATATTCAGTTCCTCACAGGATTCCCCTAACAGGGCTTTCTTCTTTAAATAGAGCCAGACTGCGGGATGAAGATTGGAGATTCCCTTTTCCCTGATGTCCCAGGTAAAGGTGACTGACTACTGGAAAAGAACAGTGATTGCCACCAATCAACAGTGTACCAATTAATTCCAATTACACAATACACAATAGTGTACCAATCAATTCAGTACTTGGCAGAGTCCTCACAACAAAGGAACTTACAAATGAATGAAAAAAAAATCCCTTATTTATGCCTTATTATTATCCCAGTTAACCTTGATTTTCTTCCATTTCCATTTTCTTCCATTTCCATTACGGAAGTATAAAGTCTGCTTATATAAGCAGCATTCCTAAACAAACATTTATAAATAGACCTACCTGTAAAATAAAAAAGTAATAGTGGAATTTATTTACTAAATCTGTAAAGCAGTTCAGAGGAAAAAAATGCTGAGTAATGAGTATATTAGACATATACATATGCTTGTAGGTAAGAAGATCTTGTTTCTTCTTCAGTTCAAATTTTTGTAATCACATCTAAGGCTTAACACAACCTAAGCCATGAAGTATCTGTGATTTTAGATAACATCTATACAGAATATTATTTGATAATTAGTCCCAGTTGATTCATTCTATATCTATAGATAGTATAGATTTCCACAGGAACTTAACTTATTTCCACAGGAACTTAAGGAAGCATTTCTTCACTGTGAGGGTGACAAAGCACTGGAACAGGCTGCCCAGAGAGGTTGTGGAGTCTCCTTCTTTGGAGATCTTTAAAACCCGCTTGGATGCAGCCCTGTGCCACGTGCTCTAGGTGACCCTGCGTGAGCAGGGGGGTTGGACTCGATGACCTCTGAGGTCCCTTCCAACCTTCGGCATTCTATGATTCTATGATTCTATAGATAAATTCTATATCTATAAAGATATATCCATCTAATATAAAAGTGATACCTTTTTTTCCCCCAAATCCTGCAACCTAGCTTCAGCTACCTTTGAGTAATTAATCAATGTCAAACTTTCTGAAACAGAAAACAGAAGTTTCTGCACTTGAATAAGGCAACAGAGAGATTCACAGATGTACAGAAACTTGATTTCACATCCAGCAGCCAGGATTATGCAATTAAGCCTACAACAAGTTACAATTATGTCTATAAGCCAAATGATTTTGAACAAAGTATATAAGCAGCAAGATAGAATATTTGAAATAACCATTTTTATATATTGCATATGAAAACATTACATTTTGAATTTACATCAACAAATGAGTCTAAACCTGCTGAACACAGACTTTGACTTTACTAAAATGTAATATCAAGCTATGCATGTTAAACTCCAATTTAGGATATTTTCCCTCTTCTTTTTTTTTTCCTTTCAGTATTTTGCTATTATTGATATGACACATAAAGATCATACATAGATACAACTCCAGCTTCACTGTTAAAATCAAACATGATCTAGAAAAAAACACTGAAAGTAAATGAGCTAATCCTGTCATCTTCATATTCTGGGCTGACCAATCTGACTAATTTAGCACAATAATATTAGAGATTCAGATATAGCTGTGCACGTTTCTATGAATTTACAAAAATAAATCCTCCCCCCCTTCCTAAACATCAGCATTGATGTAAGATTGTGGCTTCTTTTTGGTACTGCAGCCATATTCCTGGAGAAGAAAACCCACAAA